CTCCCCCCCCCCCGCCTCAAGAAGTATATTTTTTAACATTTAGTAGCACACTACTTCTAAAAATCTTTCTCACGCCCTGTACTCTTTACCCCCCACACACACGTAGGGTGGGGAAGGGGAGAACATAATGTTTGAGGGTTGGACACCATGGTTTTTTTATGTGGGCTAAGGTGATTTCCAATAGGAGCAAACTGAGTTACTTTTCTCTTCCTATATCAAATTTGTATATTTTTTAACATTTAGTAGCACACTACTTCTAAAAATCTTTCTCACGCCCTGTACTCTTTACCCCCCACACACACGTAGGGTGGGGAAGGGGAGAACATAATGTTTGAGGGTTGGACACCATGGTTTTTTTATGTGGGCTAAGGTGATTTCCAATAGGAGCAAACTGAGTTACTTTTCTCTTCCTATATCAAATTTTTCACTTATTTCCAAAAGGCCAACAATGAGCTAACTTTCTTCTCTCTCCCCCAGTGGATGGCTGCATTCACAGAGCAGCTGGCCCCTGTTTGCTGGCTGAATGTCGCACCCTGAACGGCTGTGATACTGGGCATGCGAAAATCACATGTGGCTATGACCTGCCTGCAAAATGTGAGTACAACTCTTTTGAACACTGTTTCAGAATCTGAGGAGCATTCTTGCCTTGTTTTATTTCTCAGGTGTGTAACTAGGGAAGGAAATGGCAGTGGCGGTATTTAATTAAATGTGCTTATATTAAGGTTTTGTACCTGGTAATAAAATGTGTTTTCCAAACATCTAAGTGTATGCCGTTTAACTATAGGTGTTTTTTGTTCAGACCTTTGACAGATGGTCTCTGAAACAGAGAAATAAAAATATGAGCAAAAAATATATTATAGTATTTAAGTGCCATTGAGTGACAGCTTCTGGAAACGGTGCCAATTTCTTATTCCTTGTTCAGGTTTCTTGATTGTGGATGTGTTCAGACCAAAGGAGATCAAAGTGATGTATTGTGTTTTCAGCTGCCATGTAAAGGCTGATTGGCAATTATAGCCAAGGCACCTGTCACACTTCCCTTTCGGGGAAAAGCCAGTGGAATGCGGTTGTCAGTGTGAGAATGTGTTTGTGCTTTGAATGTGGAATGGTCAAAATTTCCATTATATTTGAATAGAGAGAAGTATTGCATTTTATTGACCTTGTTGGTTAGTCATTTAGCCACCTGGGTAGGGTGGTGCGGAATAAGAACAGTGAGAAGGAAACTGGCTGGAGGCACACGCTCCTTTTTTAATCACATTGTCTTCAGGGCCTGGGGCTCGAGGTAGAGAGTTTCATTGCACAGGTAAGGGTGTGCATTGATCCAAAATTGAGGCACTGATTAATTTTTTATTCCATGTACCTGCTTCTTATAATATTGCCTGGATCTGGGAGTACATTTTATGTGAAAGTAAAACACGATACAGTGTGCAGATAATGTGATGTAGAATTGTGCACCTGAAACCTATATAATTTTGTTAACCAGTGTCACCCTAATAAATTCAATAAAAAAGGAAAAGTATGACATGGATTTTTAAAAAAACGTAAAGCTGGTTTTCGTTTTTGTTTTAGCACTGGAGAAAACGTGACTAAAAGTTACAATCTGTAGGAGACTCTTTGGTCTTGTACAGGCAGGTTGTGTAAGAATGGATTTCCCGTGGATCTGTGCGAGGAGAGAGAGAGCGTTACAATGCAAAGATTACTTGAAATTAGGTTTAAATCTGAGGAATTTTAGTAAATAGTAATATGCTAAAATGGTATTTTTCTTTATAACTGTTATAATACTACATTCTATGTTCCTCACAGTGGGTTGCTAGTGAAAGTATATCAACTATATACTGTTTAGTTTTCCCTTTCATGACATCTCATTTTTCTTTCTTTGTTACTGTCTTAACCTTGTGCCAAATGCCCCCTCACTCCTAGTTGGACGATATGTTTATGTCAAATAAGATCCTTTGTGTACATTGTGTTCAGAGAAGTTGTCCCTACGACTCAGAGAGCCTGAGTATTAAAGGTGATTTCATTTCTAGGTTTATGTGATCCAGTGTTTATAAATATTGGCCATTCTTTCTTTTTAACAACATGATACCTTTGTGATATAGTTAACCAATACCATCCTGAGAGCAAGCAGATGATCAATTAGTTTTAGACTTGTATCTGTCCTTAAACCAGAGAATAAGGCCTGGTTCCCTAATGATTCACTACTTTTTTTATGTATTAACCCTACCAGGCCGCTGTACCGTTTTTTTGGTAATTTCCACACAAAGGTGGAATATTGGCGCTAGGTAAAAGGTAGATGAAAGGTAGACCTATTTTCTACAATGTCTCCAAGTTCCATCTTATTCTAACCACTTGTTTGCATGTAACTAACATTTTTCTATATCATGTTGGGTTTTTTTCTCTTTAATGCTCAGGAGCCCAGGTATAGGGGACAATTAGGTTCAGGGCCTCAGGTCTGGTAGGATTAAAGCACATATCAAAAATTCCTCAGCTCTGAGATTTCTGAAGACAAGTAACCTTAGAATTGCTAAATATGATCAAATGAAATGGTGGCTCTAGTGTATGGATTGACACTATGACAATCTTGTTGAATGTGCTTGCTCTTGTCTAACATCTCTCTAAATAACCAGTTCAGCTTAGTTCAGGGTTGTTGAAGAATTGTACAATGCCAGGCCCTGAGGTACAAAGGTCAATACTACCAATACACGAGCTGGAGGAATTCTCTGATCGAGTCATACCTTTGAACTAAGGTGCGGCTTTCCTGCACATCCCAGGGCAGGTGAGACAAGAAATCTAGACATGAAAAGTCGTCAGGACTCGATACAGAATCCCAGTGAGCTGAGATGTGAGCCTGGCACGCCTTTAAGTCGCTGCACACAGCCTACAGGGCATGTCTTGTAAAAAATGCAAAGGAAATGTAATAGAAATTGCCAGATTGGAATTGCAGTGCCGCCTCCTAAAGTCACACATCCAGATTCTGTGAATACCCTGATACTTTTCTGTATTTAGTAAGATTTAACAATTTATTACAACATAAAGAAAAGCAAGGGAGGCAATGCAAGAATGAGTAAGAATAGCTTACATTTATATGCCACTTTATAGCATGGCACAGTACTTTCACAAGCCCTCATATTTTAAATTATATTTTTCTAAACATCCTGTGTGTTCCTTTTTCCCTTTCTGCTCCCTGAGAGACATTTTCCTTTCTCATCAATTTGGTTCATCCATTTCAGAGTCATTAACAATCCACAGATGTGCTTTTGTAGAGAGAGAATGAAAAGGGAGCTCATTACATACTGTTTGGGTCATTTTCCCTCCATATTTAATAACTCCATGACAGTTTGACAGCTGAGACTAGCTTCTGTCTGTCCTCTGTGACAGTGGGTTTATCATTACAGGGCCACTAAAGCCAGTCATCCAGCCACCAGTGATAATATCTTCATGCATCAGCAACTTGTTTGTAAAGTGCTATCATATGGGTTACAGACAAACTGGGTAATTTTGGACCGGTCTTTGCTTCTATTTTTTTTCTGCTTGCTAAATTAATCTATTTATAAATGCTTATATTTGAATTAAATATACTTATAGTCTACTAGAGGCCCAGTGCATGAAATTCATGCACATGTAGGGTCCCTAGCGGCCACCTGCTGCCACTGTGGGAAGGGCCTCCCGACCCCCCGCCTCCTGCCACCTGCAGCCACTGCTGCAGCTGGCCCTGCACGCCAGCCGCCCCCCCTCCCCCCGCCGTCAAACTCCTGGTCAAACTCCAGGTTGATGGGACAATTTGCATATTAGGCTTTTATTATGTAGGATATCCTGATTGGTGGAATGAAAAACCTCAGATATTTAGTTTATGGTTTGGATGTTTTGAATAATTTGTTTTGATGTAAAATATCCAATATTTCTTTTCAAAAGTAATCTGAAGGGTGAAAGAATATAGGCCCATATTTTATTGAAGGCTTTTGCTAAGGAAATGAGTAGGGACTGAACTAAGGACTGCTCATGAAATTGGAACTTTGGGGACTTTTTCTTCTACAATATTAGAAATTTGGGCGGTTCATGATACAGTTTAGATTTCTATAGTTTTAGAGCTTTATCAGCAGGTTGGGATATTTCTATTTATGCTATTATCATTCTGACTAGAGGGCCAGGGTCACCTGGGAGAGGTTTGCTCATCCCTGTCACAGTTCGAGTGTCAATATCTGGCATAGTGTCTCTGAATTAATGTGAATGAATCAGTGATCAAACGCATGAATTGTTTCAGACATTTTCACCTGGAGAATAGCTTTCTGTTGCTTTCACTTCTAATTCTTTCCCTCCTGCAATCCATTTTGCCCAGTGCATATAGATTAATATGTCTGAATCCCGAGTCCTTGTAATTGTCGAGGATATTCTAGATGATGTGATCCTCCGTACTTCTCTGACATCGTCTCCTACCCTCTCCCTCGCTCATCAAGGCTGTTTTGCTAATATTTATTGCCTTTGTATTAGCATTCCCTCTGCCTGGAATTCTATTCTTCTACTTACCTATGTGGCTTGCTCCTTCACCTACTTTAAACCCTTGCTCAAACCCTGAGCAACATATTTATAACTGCTTCTCAGCTGTATTTGTAATTGCTTATGTAGTATTAACTTTTAAATACACTATATCATTTACTTGTTTATTTTTTTTACTGTCCCCCACCCCCACCCCCACAAGAATAAAGGCAGATATTTTTTTCTGCATCTTCTTCATTTATTGCTGTATCCATGCAGCTTAGAAAAGTAGGGGTTCAAATATATTTGTTGACTGAATTAATGAAATCTAACTCTACTCCTCTCAAATCCTTCACTAGGCTTTTACTTTAAACATAGACTTGTTAGCCTTATCTTTGGCCTTCCATGATTTAATGCCATATCTTGAACTATTTACAACCTTTCATGTGATCTGAATTGCTCATAATGGTATGTCTGTGCGGGGGTTTGTGTTCAGGGCTATCTCAAAAGCTCTTCCTCTGTTTCATTATAGCTATCTTCCACACTCAGCTCAAATATCACTCCTACAATAAAACAAGTCTTCCCTTATCAACTCAGCTAAAAGTACTTTCTTTTTCCTTCAAAATGCAGATGCTGTAGTTAACAGGCTGAGGGCACTTTTATTGTGTGACTGTTTATTGTTATCTGTGTGAACTTTCCACCTGTCTAGTAGCCCTTTGTATATGTTAATGGGTGCTAGAGCCTTATCTATCAAATGAATTAATTGTTGAAGGTGGAAAGCTGGTTAATGATTGATTAATTGCTGGTGGGGGGGATGCAAAAGAAAATGTATACTAATATTCCTGAGAAATGATGAAATCAGTATCAAGTATCCCTTGTGTTTTTAATCATATTTTAACATACTTCTAATTTCAAACACTTTTGTCTAAGAAACTTACTCTTAATCGAGTTTCTCCTAGAGGTGAACAAATAAAAATAAAGAAATCATCAACTTTATTCAGTTATTTTCATCATAGTTCACCTCTGTTTTATTTCTTAAGAATGCTTCGTTTTTAGGCTTTAGGGCTGAATAATCATCAAAGATAAATGGAAAAAATATTAAACTTGTATGCATAAAATAGTGG